ATGACAGCTTTCTTTTGTATACGTCAGATAGTAGCCCATGACCAAAACTGTTGGATCTTTCGTTTTCTTAAACAGACAGGGACATTACACTTACGAAAACTGAAAACCAAAAACAAAAATTGCCCTACTAGCTTAGGTCCTTGGCTAAGATTTAAACTAGAAATAATGGAATAGTGGAACCCAGATTCCAGAAAAGCTAATGAAGAAACAAAGAAGCGATCAAGAAACCTTTGCATTCCGACAAATTTTCCACATAAAGCAAGGGAAACACGTATCCTCCCCATGATACTAAAGTGAACATGGGCCACATTCTTTATGTGCATATATGATAGTAAAATTCAAAGATTGCGTTGCAGGAAGGGAGTCTTCCCCTTCTTCCTCCATCCGTCTGATTATGTTCATTTTAGCAAAGGTCCAAATTCAAATCTAGTAAAGATTCTTCCAGACCCCACTTTGTAATATTTGTGTCTCATTTTGCAGAAAAAACATATAAATTATTATATACTTTATCTCATTAAAGAAACAGAATTATTCACGAATCATTTTCTTCCAGAGTAAAGCAGCACCAGGATTATGGATTATCTGCTAGCTTCCGAGATATTATTGTTGTCAACTAGTTTGCACAAGGCGAAGAATTAATATATATGCTACAGAGCAAAAGGGCATCTCGCAATTCATAGTTAAACGCAGAAGAGGCCCCTTCTCAGCCGTTTTCTTTGTTGAATAATTCAATTTTTAATACGTGACTACGAAACTATTTCGTATCAAGAAACGAGGAAAAAGAAAAAACTTACGTTGACAAAGTCATTCAAGAAAAAATCGGGAATCATGGTGATCGCACGCTTGGACACAGCCAAACGAGTTAAAGTCCTTAACTGAGTAGCCGTCTCCGGTAGCATGAAGTCCTCGATGTTCTCCAAATTGGATCTCTTCAGCAAGGCCATGTTATCTGCTTTGCTCATGTTAACTCCAGAGCTCGCAATCACCACTTTCTCCACCTTGTCCGGCCACATTTTCGCCATATGGTACGCCACGAACCCTCCATAGCTCGTCCCCATGACGTGGTATTTCTCCACTTGGAGCTTCTCCATCAACTTCCCAACCGAAAGGGCCTGGAAAACCTCGGACCTTTCCTTGGACTTTGTCATGGAATTCCCAAAAAAGATCAGATCAGGGACGTAGACATGGAAGTGAGGGGTAAAGAACTGGACCTGTCGGCGCCATTGCCAGATAGCGCTCGGACCGAACCCGTGAAGCAAAACCAACGTGGGTTTTTGTTCCTGGGCTGTTTGATTGGGCTTTGGTGCCCACAAGTGGATGGTGGTCTCGTCGTCAATGTCAATGGATTGAGAAGTGAGGCCAGAGCTGGCAAAGCAGCGGCGGAGATAGACGCTGTATAAGGAGGCAAAGCTGAGAAAGGAGGGTGCCATGCCTGTCGCTTGCTATAGAGAAAGGGTTTTAGTTTTTCAAGCTAAGCCATGAAAGGGAGAGAAAGCAGGGAGGTGAGTTGGTATTGACTCTTTTGGGAACCTATTTATTTGGAAATCCACTGAGAACATTTTTCCTTATCCAGGGTTTGTGATTGTTTCCTTTATTTGAATACTAAAATCAATAGAAAAAGAAGGCAATGAAAACAAATCAAAAGCGCCTTGCTATATGAAATAATTCCATACAAGATCATTGCCAATTTCTTTGTAGTTTATCAACAAATCTAACTCCATTTGGAAAGAGTGGAAAACCTTGGAAGACATTTCGTGTTACAGAAATAAATAGAGGCCGTATGGGTTGGTTTGGTTGGTTCCTTTGTGCGGGAGGCGATGGTGACCCGCTCACCAAACTCTCTTGCCACCATTTAATTTTATAATCAGAAAGCATTGA